CACGTGTCACTGACGTGGCACCTGCAGGGACAGCAGGGCAGCAGGAGATGCAGAGGGTCCCTCACCGTGCCAAAACCAGAAACTCCATCTACCCTGGACACATCCTGCTCCAAAGGAAAACCCAAAACGCAGCAGCAAACCCAAGAAAACAGGGAGCAGAAATCAATTTGAACGTGTTATTTTAGACAAATACCATCTGTTGGCAGAATATTCCTGAGCAGCAAACATCACTGAAGAGGTGCTTGGATCCAATTCCAATTCGAATAGTTTATCAAAAAAGGCAGGTACAGCCAGGTCTCTTGCCAGCAGGTTCGACAGTTAATTACTCTCTTCACCAGCTCACTATTCATAACATTTATTTCCAAAATCCCTAACAGAGATGTTTATGGCATGTAAATTGATTAGTCTGAGCCCAAACAGATTCAGGAGGTGTTGAAGTGAGCAGGTTCCACACGAATTGCACAGAGGATTACAGAGTTACTCAGTGTGCTTCTGTTTGTGGGGAAAACGGGATTGCAGGGTGGAATTTCCATCCTGTGCCAGTGACTGTGGTGTCCCTGTCCCTGTCCCTGCTGTCCTGCCAGCCAAGGCTCCCCCTGCTCGGGGGCAGCACTGACCCCCAGCTCACCCCAAACCCTGAGCTACAGGGATGTCCCTGATTCCCTGCAAGACTTCATTTCACACTCTGCTCCCCATGGCAAAGGGCAGCCTCAGCACAAGGCCAACACCTGGAAACAACAATTTCACAGGGAATGTTTCCTTTACCTATTGATTTTGACAGTTCTGGGATACTTGCACAGGGAATGAGATGGGGAAACATAATAAACCTGGGACCTGCTGAGTTAACTGTGCCTGGAGAAAGAGAAGCAATATCACCAAATTTCCCAGGAGAACCTGTGCTTCCTCTAGGAGCCATCCATTTCTTCCTCCTTCAGGCACATCAGCTCCTCCAGGAGAGATGTGTTTGTGTTTGTCTCAGGCACCTCCAAGCACGAGAAGCTGCATTTTTAGGAGGCAGCAATGTATGGAGCTGCTCAGGCAGCTCCTCACATTCCCCCAGTGCCCCTTCTCCAGCAGCCCCAGAGGCTGCCCTACAAACGACACCTCCCGAGCTGGATGGGGCAGAGCAGGGCACAGAGGGGTCGTTCCTCCTCTGAGATCCACAGAGAGGCACAAGGAGCTCCATGGAGGCAGCACCTGTCTCCTGGCCACGCTGCCCCCAGCCACCCTCCCCATTCCCTGCTGCTGGAACCACACAAGGCTCAGGTGCAAAGGAAAACCCAGCCTAACAACTGAAAGGAGCCATTGCAAAGGCAAAGCAGCCAAAAGCTCCACAGCACTCCTCATCCTGCCCAGGGCACACTGGCTCCTCCTCAGCAGCACCTCTGGGTGTGAAACACCAAAGCTCAGCCATCCAAGCAGCTCTGGAGGGCCTGGAGCTGCCCTGGGGCAGGGGTGCAGCCTCCCAGAGCCCCAGGCCTGGCTTAAAGCCCAGCTCCCCGTGCCAGAGCATCTCTGTCCAGCCTGAGTGCATGAGCTGTACCTCTCCTCCCCCTCCCAGGGGCACGGGGCTGAGCTGCAGCAGGGATGCAGCTGGCCAAGCTCTGAGCCTGAAGTCGGGGCAGGAGGATGTGAGCCACAAACCCTGCAGCCCAAACCTGCCTGCCACTGAGGAGGGGCAGAGCTGGCACAGTCCTCAGCAAGGAGAGGGTGGGACCTGGCTTTCCCTGCAGGGTGGGCACTCAGCTCCACACCTTGCTGCAGGGAGAACACAGCACTGCAGTTGGCATGGAATGCTGGCCTTTAAAATCAGACATCTGCTCGTTTCATCCTTGCATGGACTCCTGACACACAGCCAAAACTGGCACTGAACTGTGCTCTGGGTGCTGGGCAAAGCTTGGGCTGGCTGCTGCCAAGCAGGCAAAGGAAAAGGGGTGGTGGCACTGCCCTCACATCAACTGTGATGTCCCAGGTCTGCTGCAGGGAAAAGTCATCAAATGTTTTGTTATCTGACCTGAGATCCAGACAGGTAATTCACAAAGCCAGGTTTATCAGCAATAAGAACACAGAGCAGATTTGAGGAGTCCCAAGGAATTCCTACAGCTCTCCTCAGTCTGTCTGCTAACACAAGAAGAGAGAGAAAACTGAAACAGAAGTTACTCTGCAATCTAACCTGGAAAGATCACGTTCAGCTCTCCAGATCAATCCAGCCCGTGGCCACCATGGCCCACAAAGTACCAGGAATGGGAAATGACCTTTTTTGAAGGCAGCCACAAGAGACTGCACAGCAGCAGCCTGCCAGAGGAACCCAACAGTGAAACATCTCTGCTCCTTCTGGAATGAGGATGACGACAGAGAAGAAAATATCGACTCACCTAGCTGGTCTGCACTGCTGCCCTCCTGTCCCTGGCTCTGCAGGGCCCTTACCTGAGGCTGTGCAGAGCTCTCCCGTTCCCAGGGACACCCAGGAGTGGCCAGGACTGCCCTGGGACACAAAGCACCACGGCAGAGCTGCCCTCCTCCAAGCACCCCACACCCCTCTTGTGATGAATTTGAGAAATAAGAACTGGGGAAACATCCCCTGAAGAGTTATTGCCACAATAATTACTGGAGACAAATCACAGCCTCTGCTAGCTTTCCCTGGGATGTATTTAATGGAATTTATTTTGGTTATTTCCAGGAATCCTTGACTTCTCTAGACTCCACAATTGTCCTTATTATTGTGAGAAATAATCCAATAATACAGAAGGGACTCTCTTAGATACATATTTGTGAGAGAAACTGGGACACTTGAGTGATTAGAAGGGAAGTTAGGGAGGGAATCTCAACTACTGATGTGACCCTGTGGCCATGAGGCTACGAGGGTGAGGAAAGAGGTCTATTTATGGAAACATTTAACACAACAACAGGAATACAAATCAAGCTCCATTAATTTGGCTTTAAATTTTAATGGGTCAGGATGTGCAGTTTACATAAAGAAGGATTTGCTTAATAAAATATTAATATTTTTTGCTAAAAGAACTGTAAATTGCAAGTTAATATAGGTTTCCTTATATAGAACATCAAAATTCGAAAAGCACTGAAAGAGCAAATCAAACACAGAAAATAAAAATGAGCCAAAATTCAAGGAGAGTGAAATACTGTGCGTGATCAGCCTCCAAGGGCGGACCCACATTATTCCCTTGATTTAACAAAACCCATGAGAACATCAAAAATACAAAGTGTGGGGCCTTTGGTTCCATGCCAGGGCATGGCTGTGACCCCTGAGGGCAGCCCAGGGCTTGTGCCCCGGGCACAAAGGGCTTGGGGAGCTCAGGTGTGCCCACAGGGCCAGCCCCCAGTGCAGCGTGTGACAGCAGGGCCAGAGAGACCCCCAGGGGGGCTGGAGCATCCTGGTAAACTGTGGGGTCAGTGTGGGGTCACCCCTGGGTCACCTCCTGGGTCACTGTGGGGTCATCCCATGTCACCGTGGGGTCACTTTCTGTGCCATCTCCTGTGTCACCCCGTGGGTCACTATGGAGTAACCCCTGGGTCACCCTGTGCCACCTCCTGTGTCAGCTCCTGGATCACTGTGAGGTCATTTCTGTGTCACCCCCTGGGTCACTGTGGGGTCACCTCTGGGTCACCCCTGGGTCACTGTAGGGTCTCTGTGGGGTCACCTGTGCCACCTCCTGTGTCACCCTCTGTGTCACCTTCTGGGTCATGTCCTGTGTCACCCCATGGCTCACTATGGGGTCCCCCCTGGGTCACCCTGTGTCACCCCCTGGGTCACCCCCTGTGTCCTGGCTGCCTCTGGGGGGCTGTCAGGGCTGGGCCCTGTCACACAGCCTGTCCTGCCCCCCTTCCAGAGGCAGAGAGGAGCCACACACGCCGATGATTCCCGATGAAATTCCCGATGCCCCTGGGCTGGGAAGGCTGAGGGAGGGAGCAAACCCTGCTTCCACAGACGCCCAGAGCACCTCCATGCCCCTCGGGCCGTGGGGCTGCAGGAAGCCCAGACAAAGGGCACAAAGCAGGGATCCTGGGCCCAGCCAGGGCCAGCCGGGCTCGGGGGGCTCGGGCTGACACCCCCTGAGGTCTCCAGCTCTGCCACCCACCAGTGCTGGGGATTTTTTCTGGGAAGCATCAAAGCGTGTTTGAGCAGCTGCTCCTACGTGCCCGTTTTCCTTTAGGCATCATCCCCGAAAGACCACCTCACCCACACGGATTCAAAGCGCCACTGGAAGAGTGACTCACTCCAAAAACATTTCGTTCCAGCTTCCCAAAGACCAGAAAAACCCAAAAGCCTCTGCAAGCGAAAGCCCAGCGGTTTCAAACTGCACCAAAGCCCAGCTCCATTTCCCCAGCTGGCCAGCAGGCCTGCAGACACGCAGCAGTAATTAATGAAATTTGCATGAGCACCTCGTGTCCCTGTTGGTCTGAGGAGCTCTGGGTGTGGGGAGAAGGCTGCAGGACAGGGAGAGGAGACAAGGGCCAAACCCACACTGGAGCTGTGAGGAAGCAGCAGAGATCCCTGCTGCTGGAGCCCTGAGAGCCCACGGCCAGGGGAGCAGCGTGCAGCCTTGATATTTTATAAAAAATCCTTTGCCAGGATTTTTCCCTCCTGAGGAGCCTCAGGAAAGAAACGTGAACAATAACTCTCTGCTGCTGTGGAATGCAACAGGTGCAGCTGGGATTGGTGCATGCTGGCTGTCTCTAATTAATGGCCAATCACAGATGCAGCTGCATCGGCCTCTGAGAGTCACAAGATTTTGTTATGTATTCTATTCTGGTTCTTTCAAGCCTTCTGATTGATCTTTTCTCTCTGTTCTTTTAGTATCGTTTTAATGTAGTATTTTAATATAGTATATATCATAATAAAATAAAATAAAATAAAATATAATAAAATATAAAATATAAAAATATAAAATCAATATAAAATATAATAAACCAGCCTTCTGACATGGAGTCAAGGCTGGCGTCCCCACGCGTGGGGCGCTCCCAGCACAGGGGGCACTCACGTTGAGCTGCAGGTCGTCTGTCCACTGGCCCACCAGGCGGTAGCCGGGCGTGCTGGTGTTGCTGCTGTGGAACTGGAAGATGTCGTAGCGCCCCGGGGCGTCCCCGTTCTTGTTGAACATCACTGGAGTGCCAGCACTGCCTGGGGGAAGGAAACGAGACAAAATCCAACCACCCAGCACCACATCTTTACCAAATCATCTGAGTTTTCACGCTGGAAACGCCCCAGGCCGAGGCCATCCACCCCACAGCACCCAAAGCAGACCCTCAGGACACTGCCACCAGCCAGCCCGTCAAGATCCATCCCACAGATGGGGATGGAACCCCCCAGCCCCACCATCCCTGCCCTCCTGCTGCCTGGAAACAAACCCAGCCAGCCCTGCCCAGCACCAGGAACACAGGAGGCTTTTCCTGCTGCCTGCAGCCTGCCTCCCACCTCCCTGTCCTCAGGGAGCTCTGCAGTGCAACCACTGCTGGGAATGGCCCTCCAAATGCTGCCTTCCCCCTCCAGAAAACAGCCCAGCTGCTTCCCAGAGATGTGTGTCAGAAGCCAGCCCGGGTCTGCTGAGCCTTGACCAGCATCCAGAAATAGGTACTAAAATAGGAAATAGCACCCAGAAATAGGTGCTAAAACAGGAAATAGCATCCAGAAATAGGTAATAAAATAGGAAATAGCACCCAGAAATAGGTGCTAAAACAGGAAATGGCACCCAGAAATAGGTGCTAAAATAGGAAATAGCACCCAGAAATAGGTGCTAAAATAGGAAACAGCATCCAGAAATGGGTACTAAAACAGGAAATGGCATCCAGAAATAGGTACTGGTGTCCTCCTCCACAATCTTCTCCATTCCTGTTACGAGAGGTGGGAGAGGACAGAGCAGCTTTGGGAAGAACACTCCTTGTGCACTCCTTGTGCACTCCTTGTGCACTCCCTTAGCCAGAAGAACATTCCCTGTGCACTCCCTTAGCCAGGCTCTGTGGCACTCCCACAGCAGCGTCCTGGGAGGTCCCAGAGCAGGACCCCACGCTGAATTCACTTTATTTACCGTGTACTCCAGTGACAAACTGGCAAGTGCAGGGCAGGAGAGCCCCAGCCCTTCCTGCGTGCTGCAAAGCCTGGAGCTGCCCTGAGCCCTGAGCCCCACCTCAGGTGAGCTCTCAGCACGACACCTGCATTTATTTTAATCACCAAGCACTGCTGGGAACCTTCCCAAGAGGAGGACTCAGAGCAGTGCCTCATTTCCTCAGAGCTCCAGGAGCAACCTTCCAGGGTGACATTTATTTCCAGACATATTAAAATAGGTTTCGGGAGGGTAGAGTAATATTGTGTCAAGATTGAAGATTATGACAATCCTCCAGCATATCTATATTCAAAGCTTCCTCCTCCTGCGTAACTTTTTTTCCCTAAAGCAATGAAAAATCTCTCCTGTTGTAGCACTGAACTTTAAGATTATCGGTTTCTTCATGATTCCCATTCTTCATTGAATTCCAGGGAGTGAAAAAAAGATTTGAAGGAGTGAATTAGCATAGTCTCCATTCCAGCCCTGGTAAATTGTTTCCTGTCTCTCCTACAATCCTCTGAGATCAGATACAAATTCAGTTCAAAGGCTGGTACAGAAATCTCCCACTGAAATCTCTCCTCGCTGGATCCAGGCAGATATTTAATTGTCATTACAGATTCATGCAGCCAGAATACATTGGAGTGGAAACACTTAGACTCAATCAGAAGCAATGGCTGTAATTCCCTGGCTCCTCAGGAAAGGCAGCAAAGTGCTGAATGGGATTTGGCTGATCACGACTCTCAGGGCTGCTTAGGGTGGGTTAGGCTCAGCTTTGTCACAGCTGACAGGAAAGGGACACCTGGAACGGCAGGAGCTCAGGTGAGCTCCCAAAATGCAAGAGGCACACACAGCAAGGTCCAGGGCTGCTGCTCAGGAGCCAGCAGGAGGATGGACACCACTGCCACGGGCACCCCAAAGCCAGTGCTGGGACAAACCCTTGGGGGACACAGCCAAGAACTCACTGCAGCCACCCCCAGGGGAGCAGCACCCCAAACCCCCAGCACAGCCACTGAGAGGGACCGGGGATGCCCCTGGCTCCAGCAGGGCTGCACAGCACTGTGGGGTCCCTGCAGAGACCCCAAGGCACAGCCCCAGCAGAGACCCCAAGGCATAGCCCCAGCAGGGCAGCACAGCCCCAGCAGAGACCCCCAAGCACAGCCCCGTGGGGTCCCTGCAGGGACCCCCAAGCACAGCCCCAGCCCTGGACGGGGCAGGCCCGAGCTAACACTGCCTGCAGGGTCTGTGTGAAGTGGCCCAGCCAGTTGGGGAGGGTTGGGGTCCATGGAGCTGGCAGAGGGAAGCTCTGCTGACCCGGGGCAGGGGCAGGCAGAAGTGTCCCTCTCCTGCCTTTGAAGCTGCAGTAGTTGGGCTCCAGCCAAGGCTCTGCTCAGCAGGGCCAGCCCTCCTTAACCCTGGGTGAGGCTCTGGAGCCCTCTCGGTGCCACCTGTCTGCAGGGTCTGTCAGTCCTGGTTTGCATCACTGCAGCGTTCCAGCCTCAGCTCAGGCTCCTTTCACGGAATAATGAAATTAATAAAAAGTGATGGATGAAAACCTCAGTGCAGGCGTTTCAGAAATAACCCTTGATCTTCCAATCATTAAAACGTGTCGTTATTGCACTGGGTCCTGATCAGTGAGGATTTATTTTCTTTCTGTTAAGATTTCCCAGATTTCGCTGAGCCCACTAAGCAGTTCAGAACCTGTGTCAGTCTCCAGGCTGCAGCTTCTTGCTCATGCAGAGCTGTGACAATTTAATTCAGTTCCCGACAAAGGAGCTGCCTCTCCCCACACAGACACGGGGCACTTGACACCTGCAGGAAGCCCTCAAACCCAGACACAACCTGACTGAATTTGCAGGGTTTCGATCTCTTAATCACTGCAAGATGAGGAATGAATTATGGAGAGGAGGACAGGAGTCACACAGGTGTCACCAGCCAGGCTGTTTGGTACCCAGGGCACGTTCATGGCACTTTGGGCACCCGAGGGGCTCCCACAAACAGCATCTCCAGCTTTTCACTGCCAAAACACAGCTGCGCTTCAAAACTTCCAGAATTTCACTGCGTGAGCACTTCAGGTTTAAAGTCTTCCGTATTTTGGGCCTTTTGTCCTCCAGGACACAAACACAAAATGAGCTCCTCACTCAGATCCAGCCTCTCCATCACAGCCTGGCTGCACTGATGGCAGCACCTCTGCAAGGAGGGCAAGGCCCCAAAGCAGGGCCAGCAGGGTGGTCCCAGCTCAGGCAGGGTGGTCCCAGCTCAGGCAGGGTGGTCCCAGCTCAGGGCAGGGTGGTCCCAGCTCGGGGCAGGGTGGTCCCAGCTCACAGCAGGATGGTCCCAGCTCAGGCAGGATGGTCCCAGCTCACACCAGGGTGGTCCCAGCTCACAGCAGGATGGTCCCAGCTCACAGAAGGGTGGTCCCAGCTCACACCAGGGTGGTCCCAGCTCAGGGCAAGGTGGTCCCAGCTCAGGCAGGGTGGTCCCAGCTCGGGGCAGGGTGGTCCCAGCTCACAGCAGGGTGGTCCCAGCTGCCCAGGGCCGAGTGAGCTGCTCCCCAGCAGGACGATGCCCAGCTCCGGGGCTGGGGACACAGAGCAGCAGCAGAGCAGGCCGTGCTGTTCCTGTCACACACAGCTGCACCAGACCCCACCGCCCCACCCTGGCACCCAGGAAAATCCCCTGGAGCCCCGGGAGCAGGGACCTGCACCCAGAGCACCCCTGGCCAGCCCCATGGGGGGTCAGCAGGTGACCGAGGGGGGACAGTAAGTGTCAGGGATGTCAGTAGGTGATGGGGATGTCAGTGCGTCACAGGGGGGTCAGTAGGTGACAAGGGGGGACAGAAGGTGACCATGGGGTCAGTAGATGACCGAGGTGTGTCAGTAGGTGACAGGGGGTGTCAGTAGATGACAGGACTATGGGGTCAGCAGGTGACCAAGGGGGGACAGTAGGTGACAGGGGTGCCAGTAGGTGACGGGGATGTCAGTGGGTCACAGGGGGATCCGTAGATGACAAGGGGGGACAGTAGGTGACAAAGGGATGCCAGTAGGTCACAAGGGGTATCAGTAGGTGACTGAGGGATGTCAGTAGATGACAAAGAGGGGATCACTAGGTGACCAAGGGGGCTGTCAGTAGATGACCGGGAGGGATCAGTAGGTGACAGGGGGTGTCAGTAGGGACAGGGGGGTCGGCAGGGCACGGGGCCGAGTCTCACCGTTGAAGTTGACGCTGCGGATGTACTTGAGCAGCCGCTTGCCCCCCGCGTGCTCCATCTCGGGGCACAGCCCGGCGCTGTCGGCGCACAGGTCGCGGTTCATGTGGTGCAGGGCGTGGGCCATGGCGTACACGGCATCGATCACGAACTGCACCTTCCCCTCCTGCTCGTAGTGCGAGTCCTTCCCGATGCGCTCCTGCCCTGCGGGGACACACGCGACACTCAGGGACAGCCCGGCAGCAGCGGAGCCTGCCGGAGGGGCCGCGCCTTCAGCCGGGTCCGCGGAACGCTCCGAGCCGCAAAGTTACTCATTAGAACGGGACCGAACGCTGTCACTGCTACGGCATCACCGGCTCTTCTCGCCGTAAGCCGGGAAACAAATCCTGCCCGACCACCGCGGGGAGTGCCGAGCCCGCGGGGAGCTCCCGGAGCTGGGCACGGGGCACGGATCGCTCCCGGAGCTGGGCACGGGGAGCTCCCGGAGCTGGGCATGGATTGCTCCCGGAGCTGGGCATGGATCGCTCCCGGAGCTGGGCACGGGGCACGGATCGCTCCCGGAGCTGGGCACGGGGCACTCCCGGAGCTGGGCACGGGGCACTCCCGGAGCTGGGCACGGATCGTTCCAGGAGCTGGGCACGGATCGCTCTTGGCACGAATCGCTCCCAGAGCCGGCTCTGGGCACAGGAGCCTTCAAAGCAAAGACACAGCTGGTACTAAAGCCGGGTGTTTGTTCTGCTGCAAATCCCGGTCTCTAATTAAAAGTCAAAGCCAGATCAAGGGAAGGAAGAGTCACTTCAGAGAAGCCTCCGAAGGGGGTGCGGAGAGCTGAGCAACGCGCCGGCAATTAACGGGTAATTAACGGGCAATTAACGGCACCTCGGGATGCTCCTGCCACTGTCAGCCCCGCTCCCCAGCCCCGCAGAGGTCCTGCGAAGCCCAGGAGTGCCTGGAAAATGCTGCAGCAGGAGGGAGCGATTGGAATCCCCGAGCTGATCCCTGGGAAGGGCCCCGGAGCCCACCCAGGGCACGGGGCCAGCACCTGGGGAGGGGGCTGCAGGTGGAGACCCCGGCAGGCACAGAGCTCTGGGAGGGATGGGAGAGTGAATCCAAACATCTGAAATTGCACACTCCTGCCCTAACCCCGCTCTGGCCACCTGGTCACCGGGACAGGTCAGGGGGCTCGGCAATGAGGCAGCAAAACAAGCAGGATTTCCAGAGCCTGGAGTGAGGCACTGCAGGCTGAGAATCAGGAATCTGGTTTATTCCTTTCCCCTGAAACTGCCCACTAACTCCTCGGCAGTGCCCAAGGCCAGGCTGGAGCAGCCTGGGACAGTGGGAGGTGTCCCTGCCATGGCAGGGTGGCACTGGGTGGGCTCCAAGGTCCCTTCCAACCCAACCATTCCAGGATTCCATGAGCATTGAGGCACCCCCCAGTTTTACATCTCAGCTCCTCTGGAAGCCCTGAAATCCTGCAAACAAGTGAGCAGAGAAAGTGAGTTTCCTCTGGTGAAGTTGCAGGCAGGATCCTTTTCATTATTCACTCCCTCATTGATTACAGAACTTATCAGGATTTCAAGCCCTGACAAGGAAAATGCTTTTAAGTGGTTTCAGCTCTGTAACCAAATGAGCAATGCAGCAGGAATGGATGCCAGGGGAGGGGGTCTGGGATTGAAATGCTGCACACAAACACTGATAAGCCACAGCAGGTTCCAGAAGCAGGGCTGGGCACACGCACAGCAGGAGGAAAACCTGCAGCAGTGAAGAGATCTGGGAGAGCAACCCAAGCAAAACGCACCTGGAAAACCTGAGAGCAATGTAACAGCGTCCAAACACAAAAATAGTAAAGGTTTTCAAATGTCAGTAGAATTTCCAAGAGCAAGGATGCTTCCCTGTGCTGGAACAGCCACTCAGCTGGGTGTTAAACATCAGCTGTGCACAGAAAATCCAGATGTGGAGCCAAACTGCTCACCCCAAACACGTCTCAGTTTATACACTGGGAGTGTGCTGTCCTTCACCAAAGCACAGGCTGAGTTACCTCCTAAAGAGAGTCCACTGCAATTAGAATTTGAGCCCAAATCTGAAGCAGCAAAGAACCTGCAGAGCAAATGTTATGATTATGAAATGTTATGAAATGTTGTGGGCCAAATATTCTTCAGACTTCAAAGAAAACAGCAAATATCCAAATTAATAGGCCTGGCTGAACAGTGCTCCCTCCAGTTTGTGTCACCCTCCTGCTGCTGCACTGAGCAGCAAATCAGGCCCAAAGTCCATTTTCAGGCAGGAATAAACCAAAGGTGACTGGCACAATTTTAATTCCAACTTCAACATTATTGTGGGGAACATTTCCCCCTCTGAGGCTGGGCTGCAGAAGTCAGGCAGAACATTTTACCACAGGCTCCAGGAACAGCTCCTGTATAATGGGAGTATAGAAATTCAATTATTAATTACTCTGCAGGAGAAGGAAGCTCCCAAAAGGCACCGAGCTCCTCCAGATGAAAGCAGCAGGAGCAGCGCTGTGGGTGCCTCTGGGGAAGGGGCAGGAGAGAACCCCCAGCCCAGACCTCGGGACATCCTGGGGGTCCCAGGGAGGGAAGGCTGCACAACCAACCTAAAAACGGGGGCAGCAAGAAACCATGAGCCCCTCTGTGCTGTCAGAGCAAAACCAGGGAAAGCAAAACAAACCCCATCTGCACCATTTCCGATCATCTTTGAACTGCACCATTTCTGATCATTGAGAACTGCACCATTTCTGCTCCTCTTTGGAACTGCACCATTTCTGCTCCTCTTTGAGAACTGCACCACTGCTCCTCTTTGGAACTGCACCATTTCTGATCATTGAGAACTGCACCATTTCTGTTTCTCTGAGAACTGCACCATTTCAGTTCCTGTTTGAGAACTGCACCATTTCTGTTTCTCTGAGAACTGCACCATTTCAGTTCCTGTTTGAGAACTGCACCACTTCTGCTCTTCTTTGGGACTGCATCATTCCTGCTCCTTTTTGAGAAGAAGGTGCTTTTTCTTGTTTGGTTTTTTTTTTTTTTTTTTTTTTTTTTTTTCAGCGTGGGGATCTGCAGGAGCCACACAGCCCCATGATTTGCTCCAGCAGTGAAGCAGCTGGCACCTGGGGCACTCGAACACAACGTGACTTCAGGAGAACACACTTCTGTGCCCCGGCTCTGCAACGAGCACCTCGGGGTGTCAGGAGGAGGATAAACACAAAAGCAGTTTATTGACAGGAGCATTTCTTGCCTCCAAAGGATCTATTTGAAGGTGATGCCAAGCAGTTTAACCCCCCCTCCTACTCGAGGCTCAAGTGCTCATCATCCTGGTTCCTGAGAGACGCAGCAGCCGGGCCGGCTCCAGGCACATCCTCACAGGAGAGCGACTGCAACAAAGGCAGGGAAAAAAGCTCCAAACCCAGAGTGCGGAGAACAGAGAGGAAGAATCCCACTTGTTCCATCCCTTTCAGATGCCAGCAGTGAGATGCAGGTTGGAGAGCTGCTGCTCTCCCTCCTTCATCTCAGCGCAGGCGGCGTTAGCCACGGAGAGGAGAGGAGAGGAGAGGAGAGACGTGCCTGTTCCCAGCGCCTCTCCTTCAGCTCATCCCTCTGCACTCATTGTTATCAGCACACAACAGAGGGGACGTGTGAGGAGGAATAAATAGTATCTCTAGGACAATTTTTATGGCATATAATTCACACAGACAGACATCAAAATCCCACTCCATCGGTGCTCGCGCGAGATGAGTTCAGAGACTGCTTCAGTTCCTGAAGAATTAAACACATTTTCAAAGGGTCTCACACAATAGTGCTGCTGAGAGCCTGGTGATACTCATCATTAACAAGAGATTTAATTTAAAGATTGCGGAATGCTCACGGTATCAAACACACAGCTCTTCTTTGCACAAGGTGGGATTGGCAGCTGGGGAAGGGCTGGCAGGAAGGTCTCAGTGTTCATCCAGCCCCAGCACCATGGCACAGCCCTGCCTGGGGACAGGGACAGCCCACGGGGCACCTCACAGACACATCCCTGCACACAGGGCTCTGCAAACCCTCCCTGAGAGCACAGGCCCTGCACACACAGCCCCCGAGGGCTCGGGGGGCTTCCCCATACAAACTCTTCATGTGAAAACAGCCGAGAAGCAGGGCTCGAGAGCCACCCACAACATGCCAGGGTAAATGTTGTCATGTGGAGGAGCAGAGGGTGACAAGGAGGCCTCTGAGCAGTGAAATCCCTGCACTGTCACCTGACAAAGCCCTCCAGGAGCCAGTACCAGCTCTGCAGGGACAGAATCCCCCAGCCCAGCCTCAGCCAGCAGATCTCCTTAGACACAAAAGCCTTTATCCCAGCACCACCCTGCAATCCCGTGGCACTTCCCGGGGAAAGCTTTTACATTTCTCTGCTCATCAGAGAGCATTGGATAATGCTCCAACCCAAACCCTCCACACTGCTCTGGGCCAGGATGTGTGCCCAGGGCCAGGATGTGTGCCCAGCAGTGCTGAGCTGCTCCCTGGCACCCAAACTTGGGGAAAGCAGATGAGCTTTTACATTTCTGTGCTCACCACAAAGCATTGGATAATGCTCCAACCCAAAGCCCCCACACTGCTCAGGGCCAGGATGTGTGCCCAGGGCCAGGATGTGTGCCCAGCAGTGCTGAGCTGCTCTCTCCACATTCCTCAGGGCCAGGATGTGTGCCCAGGGCCAGGATGTGTGCCCAGCAGTGCTGAGCTGCTCCCTGGCACCCAAACTCCCCCCACACTCCTCTGGGTGTGAGTTTTCATCAATTCTCAGTCAAAGTAAACCAAATCCTCCCATGAACTGGTTCCCCTGATGACAACTGAAGGCAATCCTGCCCCAGGACCCCCTCCAGCTGCTGCTGGGACATCTGGAGGGGCTGGGGGGAAGGCTGGGGTGGCCACCAGTGACACACATTGTGCCCATTCCTTCTCCAGGCTCTTCTAATCATGGAATCCTGGAATGGGTTGGGTTGGAAGGGTCAGGATGATCCAGTGCCACCCTGCCATGGCAGGGACACCTCCCACTGTCCCAGGGTGCTCAGAGTCACACCCAGCCTGGCCTTGGGCACTGCCAGGGATCCAGGGGCAGCCCCAGCTGCTCTGGGCACCTGTGCCAGGGCTGCCCACCCTGCCAGGGAACAATTCCTTCCTGAACTGTTCCATCCTCCACATAAAACAAACCAACACCTCCAGCCGCCCTTCCCTCAAACAAAAGCACCCCTGGTCCCCCATTCTGGAGCAGAGGAGGGAAGGATGAGCTCAGTCATTACCTGTGCACTTCCTGTCCGTGTCCTCCTTCTTGGAGCCCGTGATGGTCAGCTTGCAGTTGAAGTTCTCCTCCCAGTACTCTGCAAACCACACGTTCCTCCTGTTGTTCTCCAGGGTGCGGGAGGTGAAATAGGTGTCAAAGCCTGCAGGAGGAGAGGGCAGGCCTGAGTCCTGGCCGCTGTGCACGGGGAGCTGCAGCCTGGCACAGACACTGCCCCGTGCCCCCTCAGTGCCCAGCACACGGCTCTGTCCCTGCCAGGTCACTGTGGGAACGGAGACAATCGTGTTTCCTCAGCAGCTGCACCCTGCAGGAAAATGACCCCAAGTGCCAGGTACAGAACTGGGCAAGACAAATGCACAGCAGGTCAATATTGAAAGAAGTTATAGGGGAAAAGCCTGGATTAGAGAGGTACCAGGTAGGAGTGAAATAAATGACACACTGCAGCTGATATTGGGCTGAGCTCGTCACTGATTTTGTTCCTGCCCAGACTCCCAGGGGAGGCATGTCCATCTCAGCAGGTGCCACAGCAGCCCTGTGCACACAGAGCCCCGGGGAGCAGCAGCCCCCTCCACAGCATCCCCTCCCCTGTCCCACTGCCCTCCGGGCGTTCCCAGCTCTGCAGAGCACAGACACAGCACTGCAGTGTGTGCTCACACCAGCCTTCTGTCCTCCTCGTGTCCCTCCGCCTGTGCAGCTGCCAGCAGCTGTGCCCACTCACCCGCTCAGGCAGAGCAGTGGCACAGCCACGAGCTCCTGGCACAGAGCAGGGCAGCTTTGTGCTCTGGAGTGCCAGGAACGGGCGATGCTGCTCACCCCGCAGCCCTGGCACAGCCTGGCACCCCAAACCCTGCAGCCCTGGCACCCCAAACCCTGCTGTTCTTCCCCAGCCCTGGCACCCCAAACCCTGCAGCCCTGGCACCCCAAACCCTGCTGTTCCCAAGGCCTCCACAGCCAGCTTCCACTGCCACCGCAGGGGTCTGCAGGCAGGAGGGGCTGCAGAAACACCTTCCATGGAAAGGGGAACGTGCCTGGCCCTGCAGCCAAGGATTTCCCTGCTGCAGTAGGGGAGAGCCAGGCAGGCTGGCACAGCCAGGACGGAGCAGAGGCTGAGGAAAACCATCTGGCACGGTGAAATTAGCACGACAACCCTTCCACCAGGGATAAAAATAGCACCAAGGCAGCTGTTTTCAAACTGGAAAGGAGCTGGGAATGGGGTCAGGCCCTGCTCTCCCTGCTCTGTGTGCCAGTGACCCAGCTCTAACCTGTCCCAGGCTGCCTGCTGCTCTCCACACACCCCAGCTCCGAAGGCACAGCCCGCACCATCTCCAAAGACCCACAAAAACATCAGCACAGCCCACACCATGTCCAAAGACCCACAAAAACATCAGCACCGAGGCCTCCCAGCAACAGCCTGACAGCTAATTCACATTTCAGCTCAGCTCACCAGCAAACGAGGCAGTTTATCAAACCAGAAGTGGGTCCCCGTCCCAGGAGAGGCAGCAGGAGGGTGCCAAGCCCAGAGCTCAGCCCCAGCCTGCAGGACTGCAAGCAGCCCATGGAAGATGCAAGAAAAGCACAAAGAGGGCTGGGAGAAACCCCCAGGGCTGGGCTGCAGCCCTGCGAGTCCCTGGGGGCACTCTGTGAGCTCCACTGGCTTCCCAGCCCTTCTCTGGGGCTGCAGCTTGACACGAAACCTGCCCAGAACGGAATGGATCCAAGTGCAGGAAAGAGAGATCCTGGGCTGGCAGAGCCCCCATCTCCTGCTCTGTTTGTCCTCAGGGACGTCACCTGGGCCGGCCACAGACTGAGTAAATAATTGCTTAAAACTCCTGGGACGCCTGTTGTAACTAATTAGTGATTTAGGAACATTTGTGTGCAGTCTCTGGAAGGGCCAGTACCATTTCTCTACCCAAACTCTTCTGTAATTCTGTGCTCAGCATTTATAGGATTAAATTTCCCAAGGAAAATATTCAGAAAGCAGCCGGGTTTTAGTGACACACAACTGAAACTTTTCCCTGTAACGCTGTGCATTTTGGTGTCCCTCCAAATTAAAAGAGCATTTCAAAGGGGATAGCCAGCCCTGAGATCTACAACATCTCTGTGGCTGGGACAGAGCACCAATAAACCCTCCCACGTGCCAAGCTCACTGACCTCTGGGGAAAGTGCTCTATAACTTAATAATGTAAAATCAATGAGTCTTGATAAAACTGTAATAGAATTCCATATGAATTACTCTGAACCTTTACAGATTTAATAACAAATAATAACATTCCCATTGATTGGTTTAATGATCCCTCTGCATTCACAGGCAGGAATATGGATCCCTATTAAAAAGGGAACATTTGTTACCATTCTTTCCCATTGACTGGGACAAGTGGGTGGGTGACAGGGCTGGACAAAGCCCTGCTCAGTCCCTGCTCAGCCCTGTGCACACCCCTCCTGCAGGGCAGCTCCTGGGAATGCTGCTCCTGGGGGAAAGGTCCTGGAGAGCCCTACAGAGCACCCCTGGACACTGCCCTTCCCAGGCTGGAACGGGAGTGTGGGATGGATGGATGGATGATGGATGGATGGATGGATGGACACTGCCCTTCCCAGGCTGGAACGGGAGTGTGGGATGGATGGATGGATGATGGATGGATGGATGGATGGACACTGCCCTTCCCAGGCTGGAACAGGAGTGTGGGATGGATGGATGATGGATGGATGGATGGATGGATGGATGGATGGATGGACACTGCCCTTCCCAAGCTGGAACAGGAGTGTGGGATGGATGGATGGATGGATGGATGGATGGATGGATGGATGGATGATGGATGGATGGATGGATGGATGGATGGATGGATGGACACTGCCCTTCCAGGCTGGCACAGGAGTGTGGGGTGGTTTGAGCTGTTAGGACCCTAAATCCCACCCAGTGCCACCCCTGCCACGGCAGGGACACCTCCCACTGTCCCAGGCCGCTCCAGCCCTGTCCAGCCTGGCCTGGGACACCACCAGGGATTATTTTACCCCACAGGGCTGTCCTGCAGGTCCATCTGTGCCAGTGCAAATCTCAAACACTTCCCTCGTTTCAGACCCTTTTTTGGAATGAGCCTGAGCCATAAACCCCCAGGTGAACAAGGCAAACGTTCCAACCACACACCTGGGCCTGTGCTTGGCCTTTCTGAGCTGGAAACACGCAGCCAGCTCACACACACAGGGCTGAGCTGACACTGCTGGGCTCTGGGGATTCCATGACCCAGCAAAAAACGCTGGATGCTTCAATGCAGAAGCAGGAAAAATCACTTCTCACCCTGCTCGTGACCAAGCACTGCACTGGTGTGACAAGATTTAGTGATTCCCCAACATTCTCCATATTTCATACTTTAGCAAATTACTTTTTCAGCAAATACCTCTAAGAGATATAAATAGTTCTTTTATGAGATTTTCCAAATTACAATGAATCTCTTATTACTTCAAATCACTGTGATTTGATTAAATCATTATTTTTACACATAGAAAGAAGATACTACCTAAAGGGTTCATTTGTTTTCCACCACGGGATAAATACGGACGCGAACTCCATTTGATGAGGGAGAGGAAGAAAAGGGGGAGCTGGAGGGGGGAAAGGGACAGGATCCCAAACCCGGGGCAGGATCAGGGACAGGCACAGCAGCACCAGCAATGCTCACAGAGCCTCTCCACTGCCAGGCAGGAGATGAACCCTGCTGAGCCCAGCCCACAGCCCCAGGAGGGAGCTGGGAGTGCCCCCTGCCTCTGCCCCCTGGGATCCCACCAGGAGTGAGGGGCACAGCAGGGACAGGGACAGGGAGCCTGGCAGCAGGGTTTGTCACCAGGGACAGGGACAGGGAGCCTGGCAGCAGGGTTTGTCACCAGGGACAGGGACAGGGAGCCTGGCAGCAGGGTTTGTCACCAGGGACAGGGACAGGGAGCCTGGCAGCAGGGTTTGTCACCAGGGATCAGCAGCACACCAGGGACAGGGATGGGCTGCAGGAAAAGGCATGGCCAGCCTGGAAAAGCAGATTTTCCCCTGTGAAATCAAGGTGAAGCCGGGCATCCAGGGCTGGGCTGGCACCAGCAGCGGGCAAGGGAAGCTCCCAGCACCCCCAGCAAGAGCAGCAGGGCTGGCTGGGAGTCCCAGGTGCCACCAGCACCAGCACAGCACGAGTTCAGAGGGACTTGTGTCACCTCTGCGTGGCCACTGCACCAGCACACGTGCAAACCAGCCCCTCCATGTGTCACAAGGGACTTAGGGGCTCAGGGCTTATTTAATAAGGAAAATCATTACGCCTAATTAAACCACAAAATGACTGACCCAGTGCATTTGCCATGTGCCTTGAGTGCTCCCCTTGTCAGCCAGGTGAGAGCAAACCCAGCATATTGACCCAGGTTCACTGGAGCAGGGATGTGACCAGTTTGTGATATTTTTACTCTTCTGTTTAGTCCCAAGGATGTCCACACCACTGACAGCCAGTTATTTACCCACACAGTAAATCATCACCTGCTATAATTATTGATGCCAAATGAGCTGAAAGCAGCTACTCAAACACTTTTCCAATTTTCCTAGCATTTAACCCAAAGCAGTTTCATTTACTGGCATTAAATCTGGGATAAAAGCATTAGGTGGGGAATGACAGCATCAATTTTAGGACTGCAAGTCTCTCTGCAGATTTTATGCTGCTGCCCAGCCACACACTATGAAATGGTGGTAGGACAGTCTGCAGATATTTTTTTGACCTTTTTGCTCGGTAAAAAGGCCATAAAATAAATGATTTCATTAACTTCCATCATGCCACGAAAGTGCTTTGCAGCTGTTTTCTTTTTCAATAATTGCTGATTATAACTGTGCAAAAAGGGGTCTTTAGGTGGTGGCACATTTGACTTTTTAGATCCATGACATCAATCACGCACAGAGGGAATTCCACTCAGGGCAGAGCTGGGATTTTGGGCTGTTCTCTTGGGGAAACAGGTAGATATTGGCTGAGTGTCCTCGTTATCATGGTTTAAATGGCACAGCTGCAGGGGGACCCTCAGCCAGGGCTGGGTGGGGCAGCCCTGGCAGGAAAGGTTCATTCGCAGTGAATGAATTATTATTCATTATTCCACATCCCACAGCACCCCTCACCCCGTGTGCAGCACAAG